TCACCCAGAAACCCACTTTGTAGCGGAGAAGATGTCGTCAAACTTCTTCTTGAGCAGCGCGGGCTCAGCAAGGGGCCAGTTGGCGTCATCCTGGTGGACGAAGATCACGTTCTCGAGCACCGCCTTGGGCACGCCCATCAGCAGCGGGATCTCCCGATCCATGTCCGCACAGCGGTAGCTCAGAGAGACGCGCTGGAGGGAGGGGAGGGGAAGGGGGGGGAGTGCAGGGTGTGACTTGCATGTGAGTGGGCTCACTGGCCCATCAGCAGCGGGATCTCCCGATCCATGTCCGCACAGCGGTAGCTCAGAGAGACGCGCTGGAGGGAGGGGAAGGGAAGGGGGGGAGTGCAGGGTGTGACTTGCATGTGAGTGGGCTCACTGGCCCATCAGCAGCGGGATCTCCCGATCCATGTCCGCACAGCGGTAGCTCAGAGAGACGCGCTGGGGGGAGCAGCGACGGGTATGGGGAAGAATGTGGGCGCACAGAGAGAAGTCGACGGTTACTAGCACATCAGCACACGGCAAAATATCCTAATCCATGTCTGCACAGTGGTAGCTCAGAGACATGAGCTGGAAGATCAAGGGAGCGGAGGAAGGGGGAGGGGAAGGTCCTGTGGTGCTGTTGAGGGTCTGCAGTACGCTCTTTTTGGGCATGAACTGACACCCTCTCTTACTCTCCTCGCTGGTGGTGCTGTCCGTGGTCTGCACCAAGCCTTCAATCGCCTTAAAATCCATGTCGCTATGCATGTGTTGTGTATCTTTCACGCAACAAGCAGCTCCCATGTATCAGCAACCTCTACTGCTGCTACGGACCTCGCCAGTGGTACTGTTGATGGTCTGCAGCACGCTCTCAATGGCTTTAAACTGCCACCCTCTCCTGCTCTCCTGTCACTCTTCCTCCCACCCAGCTCTCCTATTCTCCAACCCCCCGACATACCTCGCCAGTGGTGCTGTTGATGGTTTGCAGCACGCTTTCAATGGCCTTGAACTCCATCTTGCTGGTCTTCTGTGTGAGTGAGAAGTTGCGTACGCTCACCACGTCCTTGCCTGCTGCTGTGCGGAACCGCAGCTTGATCTGCCCCTTGGTCTCCGTTATATGCGCCACCTGCCAGCACCAGCACGGGAACATAGAAACAGAAGTGCGGGCATGAGCTTGTGCGTGCTCTGCTCTCCCCCTCCTTGCCTGCTACCGCAGCTTGATCTGCCCCCACAGCTCCGTTATATGCGCCACCTGCCAGCAGCAAGAATCTCGCATCGCCATGGCCAATGTCCTGGCGTGATGAGGCGTGTCGTCACCACCAGGACTGGCACATGGCTGCTGCATGAAGCCTTTCGGACCTTGGAGTGTAGCATGACCGAGTGTAGCATGACCGAGTGTAGCATGACCGAGTGTAGCATGACCGAGTGTAGCATGACTGAAAGTAGCATGACCGAATGTAGCATGACTGAATGTAGCATGACCGAATGTAGCATGACTGAATGTAGCATGACCGAATGTAGCATGACCGAATGTAGCATGACCGAACGTAGCATGACCGAACGTAGCATGACCGAACGTAGCATGACCGAACGTAGCATGACCGGATGTAGCATGACTGAATGTAGCATGACCGAATGTAGCATGACTGAATGTAGCATGACCGAATGTAGCATGACTGAATGTAGCATGACGGAATGTAGCATGACTAAACCTGCAGGAAATCAGAGAAAGCGTGAATGACAATAAGCTGCAATGATAAATTATAGAAATTCCCTGCTTCCATCCAGACAAACTGTCCACTGCAGCAACATGCGTCATGACCGACCTTGGGGTCGTGGATGAAAGAATGGCCGGATCGAGCGTTGGGAGGGAGCTCTCCCGTTGTTGCACATTTCAGGCACTCGATAATGGTCTGCATGGATCGGGAAGCGAGCAAATACACACAGCGCAAAGAATCGGATTCTGCACAATTGAAATGCAAATGAAGCCGCATGAAGAACAACGAAGGGCTGTCAGGAAAAAAAGAAAAGCAGCAGAGCTTGATCAGCTACAGCCTGAACCAGCAATATGTGAATTGACAAAGACGAAGGTGCAAGATATGTTCAGCCAGTTATAAAACGCGACTTCCTTACGGTTTTTCCGGCTCCATTAGGACCGACGATGAGTGTGAGCGGCTTGAAGAATGTGATGACTGCTTGGTTCTCCGGACTGAAGCTCCGGATGCCCTTGATCAGCATCTTATCAACGGTGCACATGGCTGCAAATTCTGACGGCCTTCTGGCCAACTGCCTGCGAATGGCAACTCGGAGTCATCATGAGTTCACACGGATTCACACGGATTCACACGGATTCGGTGCGTGCTTTGAAGAAATCAGTCAGCGATCCAAAGGAATAGACAGGAACGAATACGAATACGAGATAAAATCTTACAATATGCAAGGTTACGTTGTCAACCGGTGCTGATATTGTAAACACTTCGTTAACTTCGATAATTCTGATAACGACCGTAGGAGCGGTTACTGGTCAATAGTGCTGATAATTCTGAACGTTTGTACCGACGTTATAGCAACTGCCGCGAAGCACAGAGATACGATTGCTGAAGCTGGCCTGTCGGCACTCTTCTGTGAATCATGTGTTTCGAATCCGCAATCTAGAGGTACTTGCAGGTCTAGAAGACAGACATACACAACAGCGACTAGACGTGGAAATGTGGCGATGTATTCTTGATGGTGTACCAAGTGCGAAGCAGCTCTTGTCGGAGCCAGGATCATCCTGCGGAACTTTTGGTATGTCCCTCCCCTCCCTAGTAAAACTCATTGAGATTCGTGCTCATCAAGTCTCGAGAGCATCTACGGGCCAGACAATTTCGAGGCGTCGTATAGTCATGCATTCGATACATGGTACAGTAATATTATTATTGCCTTTCAGCTATTTACCTTGTTTGCAAAGCAACCATCGTACTCTTTTGGAAAATGAAATGCAGGAATGGATGAATTCAAAACAATGATCACGCACGTAAAAAATGCACCATGTTGTGATAATCCAGCCGTATGTCCAACGAAATTTCCCAGTAAAGTATGTGGCATTTTCTTGGTAAAGTGGTGGCACTATGTTATGTATGATTGACTTCTGTATATTTTTTGTGAGCAGTTCTTTTACGGCTCTATATTGTTATCGGATGACAGGATTCTCACCTGCGAGATACTGTTTTGTTCGCAGGGATTCAGCAAGATTCTCCTGGTTTTGGCACGAAGCAAACTGGTCCGTTCGATGCAAGATTTTTCTGTGATCTCGAAACATTTGGCGCGAGATTTCCGCAAAACACCAACTGTGCATTCCGACAGCCTATCCCGTTGCTTCGCCATCCAGAACCTGGGGGAACGCTCCGCGAGGCCCGAGTGCTGGCGGACGTTCGGAAATGTGTCAGCGATTTTGGTGGAGCACTTCCGCCACTTCGCGGGTTGTTTCAGAACCAAACGTTGGCCTGGGATTTGGTTACGTCACTCACGAGTTTAGCGAACCAATTTTGCCCGTGTAGGCTGCTTATACGAGAAATCTTAAATTTCGCGAATTCATTTCGACTCACTATAATCGTTCGTCGTTCCTTTCGCGGAAACCGTCGTTCCGCCACTTTGGCGAACTGAGCGCGCTTTTGTGGCCGCGTGATGCGCCAGCCTAGTCGGTGCGGCTTCCTTCTCCACCACCAGCCCAACCTTGGGATTGGCTGGGGTTTCTCTGTGCTGTGCTGAACCTCGGCTGGGATGGGCAGGGAAGAACCAGATACAGGATACACACACAACCCCTCCCAAACCTTTTCAAACGATTTGAAACATTTATTGCCTCTCTCGACCATTCTGATTTTGCGAACCCGCGCAGTCTGAGCAGAGCAGGCAGTGGTTGAGTTCAGCCCAGGCAGTGAGGCAGAGAGCGAGTTCTATCAACCCATTTTCCAATTCCTCTACTCTCCGCATTTTCGCCACTCCCTTGCTCCTCTCCCATTCACCTGCATAATCTCGAAAAGCATTCCAGGCCCACAGATGATTTTCCGTCGTACGCCAGCCATATATGCGTTAGGTCTTCGACTAAGATTGTGAGCCGCTAGCCACCATTGGGAACGAGTTTCGAAGCTAGAAACAAACTTCGTCGTCAGAAGCGTTTCTTCCGTTAGCTGCGCTTTCCTCGTTGGCAGCAGTTTTTGTCGTCAGGAGCTTCGTATTCTACCGTTCTCTGCAGTCACGCCGGCCGTCAGCTTAAATCGCGATAAGAAACGATCTCCTCGTCATCAACAGCTTCTTGCTGCCAGCAGCAGCATTCTCTCCATAAACTTCACGTGCTCTCGTGCTCGGAAAGGAGATTCGACGTTCAGCGATTTCGGCCGTCTGCCAGCAGGGATGTTTTGCAGTTGGTAGCGACGTTCGCCATCAGTAGCAACGACGTTAGCCATCAGTAGCAACGACTTCGAAAGTCCCATCTGCTAACGAGCACGTCTAATCACGTCATCCAAGCTCGAAGCTCGCGACGCGGTTAAGCGGAATTGCCTGGTTAAGCGGAATCGTTTGGCCGAGCGGAATCGCGTGGCTAAGCGGAATCAAGTTGAGGATCGCTTCCGCCTCGAATTAAGCTTTTCCAGCATCAGGTGCGCCGCGGCTGTCGAAATGTTCACATTAACCGCGTTAACTACTTTTCGCCATGTTCTTAATAAAAAAGTTTCTTTAACTTATGTTTTGCGTTCAAATGTGCAGAATCCAATCAAACCGCGCTGAAGCGTGGAGACGAAACCGCGGAGAGGCATGATGGCGTGGAGGCGAAACTGCTGTGGCGAAATCTTAGCACGGAGGCGAAACCGTGGAGGCGAGCAACATGGCGCTCAGCTAATCACCCCTGGCAGCCACGCTCCACCTCTCGCTCGCTGCGTCGCGCAGCAGCACGCCTTCAAGAGCTAAGTGCATTCACGGCCCATTCCAGTCCATGCCTTCCATGTCGTGCCACAGCTAAGTGTCACAGCTAAGTGCCTGCACTTATGCTGTGCCTTTCATGCCTGCTCCCTGCATCCACGCTCTCGCTCTTCCTGCGCGTTGTCACACTGAAGAGACTTCCCTCCCCCAAGGTAGCAGGTTAAAAAAATCGGTATAGCCTCAGGTATTTCATTCAGTGTGGTTAAGCTGGTATGAGGTCTCTTCAGTGTGCGACCGCAGCAGTCTATTTTCATCCACACATCATTTGCACTTGCTACACTCTTCACTCTCCTTCCATTCTGCTGCTCCCCGTCCCCTTCACAACCTGTCCTCTCCCCTCCTTCCCCTCGGCCCTTTCTCTCCCTTTCCAGGTCTGCAACTTCTCATCCCAGCAGGTCGCTCACACGGGAGAGGCAGTGGCGGGGGACATGGAGTGCACAGGCAGCAGCTGCTCTCCACCCAACCCACCCACAGCTAAGTACCCCGCCCTTCCTCTCTTCTTCCAACCCTCGCACTGTGTTGCTTTTCATGTCATGCTTGCACCATGCGTTACACTCCCTTTTTCACTGCTCTTTGTCACATTAGACCTCCCTCCCCCAAGGTAGTAGTTATATTTTTTCTTGGTACAACCTCAGGTATTCGTTTTAGTTTGGTTCAGCCAGTACGAGGTCTCTTGGGTGTTCCACTGCAGCAGTCCATTCATGCACGCATTATTCTTTCACTTACTGCACTCTTCGCTCTCACTTCACTCTTTGCTACTTTCCTCACTGCTCTCTCCACTCCTCTGCCCCCCCTTCACTCCCACGTTTTCCTCCCCCCCTCCTCCCTCCTCTCTGTCCCGATCTGCCCCCTTCTGGTCCCAGCAGGTCGCTCACACGGGAGTGGCAGTGGCGGGGACATGGAGTGCACAGGCAGCAGCTGCTCTCCACCCAACCCACCCGCAGCTAAGTTCCTGCCCTGCCTCTCTACTCTCGTTCTCGGGCTGGGATGGGATGGGAGAGTATCGGGCTGGGTCGTCTGAACCAAGGTGAGCCTCTTTTCCCTCCCTGCCTCAGATGCTTGGATCTCTGTTCTTTCTTTCTCTTACGCCGTTGCTTGCTCTTCTCCCCACCATGCTCACTGCTGTCCCTTGCTCCCTGCCTCCCTCTCCCCCCCCCCCCTCCTTCCCCTCACTCATACAGAAGTGGCAGTGGCGGGGGACATGGAGTGCACAGGCAGCAGCTGCTCTCCACCCAACCCACCCGCAGCTAAGTTCCTGCCCTGCCTCTCTACTCCCGTTCTCTCTTGTTTCCTTTGCTGCATCTCCTGTTTCTTCTTGCTTCAAACGCAAGCCTCTGGTTCAGCCAAAGCTTCAAGCCACAGACCCGTTTTTTCTAAGGTAGATCCCCCCTGGTACAGCAGGTATACTCTCAGGTTAAGCCTTCCTAGGTATATTTCCCCCTTGGGTCTGTGGCTTGTAACCGAGGTTGCACCAGTGGCCCCTCCCCCTCTGCTTCTTCTGATCGTGCATCTCCTCCTTCACCCCCTCGCCTCTCCTCCAGTCACTCACTACTTCTCTGTGAACCATTGCAGGTGGAGGGGAGGGGCGTGGGGGTCAACACCGCCACTTTCTCACGTCTCTCCCGTGTGGCCGTGCAGGTGGCAGTGGTGGGAGGGGAGGGGGGCAGCACTCCACTTGGCTGGGGTGGAAGGGAGAGTATCGGGCTGGGTCGTCTGAGCCAAGGTGAGCCTCTTTTCCCCTCCCTGCTACAGATGCCTCATTTCCCTCACTTCATTTCGGCATTGCCGTTTTTGTCCACTCTAGTGTCTTCTGTTTACTTGACTGTTTCAGTTGATGCCAACTGACCTGCCCCTCCTCTCCTGTCCCTTCACACCTTTTTCCCCCACTGCCAGGTCACGTGGGGTCTGGGGAGGGGGGCAGCATTACACTCGGCTGGGATGGGAAGGGAGAGTATGGGGCTGGGTTGTCTGAAGCAAGGTGAGCCTCTTTTCCCCTCGCTGGCATGTCTGTTCTTTCCTTCACTCACGCTGCTTCTTCCTCTTCTTGCAATGCTTACTTTCTTTTCTGTCTCCTGCCCTGCCTTCACGCTTCTGCCTTGTCGTTCTCCACTTGCTCACTGCTCTCCCTTGGTCCCTGCCTCCCTCCCTTCCCAGCAGCCTGAGGCATCATGGCGCTCTGCATGGCTCTGGTAGGTGGAGTTAAGGACTGGTAAGGAGGCATGGGGCTGACGTGTGTGGTGGGTGGGTGGGAGGGGAGCATGGGAGCAAGTGGCCAGTTCACTGCCTTAAGGGCAGCTTCCTCAGGGGTTGTGCCTTGTGGGGTGGGGTGTCGTGGGTGGAATTTGTGCGGCACGGCACTCGGTGCTCAAGTAACCGATCTGGCGTTCAAGGCCTAATGGACCCCGTCAGAGCCGACCGGCCGGCGGCTCTGGTTGGCGTCAGCTGTGGCTACGTCAGGGGTGGGATTTGAGTCTTGGGCTGGAAGTGATTTTCCACTACCACTCCTCGCCCTGCAAGGTACAACCCCCTGGGATTGCTGTTTCCGAAAGCAAGTGGGCTGTCTGCTGGTCCTACTGCTAGCAGGTGAGTATGGGATGGAGCTGGGTGGGGTGGGTGGTGATGGTGGTGAGACGCAGTGGGGTTGGCAGTGGCACATGATGAGCCGTATGGCACTGATGCCACCTGTTGCATGAGATCAGGATGCTGAATTGAGTTGCATGGGATGAGCCATACGGCACTGATGCCACCAGAAGCATGAGAGTGCGCTGTCTGCTGCTCCTACGGCTGGCAGGTAAGGTGGGGAGGGGCTGGGTGGGCTGGGTGTGATGGTGGTGAGTGGCTGTGGGGATGGCAATGGCATGTGATGAGTCGTATGGCACTGATGCCACTTGTTGCATGAGAGCAGCCAGTTTTGGATGTTCAGATTTGAGTGTATGGTGTGGTGGCATCAGTGCCATGTGGCTCATGAGATGTGTGTTGTGAGTGTATGGTGAGAGTGAGAACATAGAGTGTGGTCACACTGAGGGGTTAGAGTGGTGAGGTTGGAGTGGTGAGAGTGTGGGGAGATAAGTGACCAGAATGGTAAGAATGTGGTGAGAGTGAGTGGTTACAGTGAGTGGTGAGAGTGCAGTGAGAGTGGGTAGTTAGAATGACAAGTGGTGCAACAGTTTGCAGTATACCGGGATGTCATAATGGCAGCCATGGGCATGCATGGGCACACCAAGTATGCATGTTTGCGCTCGTGCATACAAGTGTGTATGGTGTAAAATATTTTCCTTTCCAGAATAAAACCTGAGGTTCTGAGTAAATGGGTGGATTTTTTTATGAAGGAGGTTCGAGGTGCTGTGCCTGCAATGGACGAGGTAGGAGAAAGAAGAGGAGTGGAGAGTGGGGGAGAGGATGGAGGAAAGAGGGAAGAGGAGGGAGGAAGGGAAAGAGGAGGGACTCGGGATGGAGTAGTAGAATTGTGAGGCATGTTACAACTGTGGCCGCCTCAACTGCCATGCCTTGCCATGGCACGATACGCCACGGCATAGCACGCGGCTCTGTCCCTGGTGATCTGCAGGCCAAGGTAGTGGCGCAGCTCACCAAGATCAGTGCACGTGTGTCTCTTCTGCAGTTCGGACTTCACGTCTGCCAAAGCAACCCTGTCCGGAGTGGCGAAAACGAGGTCGTCGACGTAGACCAGAACAAAGAACGGTGTGGAGCCACGACGAACGAACAGCGACGGGTCGGCAGAAGACGGCTGGAACCCAAGGTCAGAGCGGGTAGAACGCAGAATGTCGTGCCACTCGCGAGGGGCCTGGCGAAGACCGTAAACAGGTCGCCTCAGCCTCCACTGGGTCCCAGGAGAGAAAGTGCCAGTGAAGGCCGAGGGACGACGCAACCAGACCTCCTCGTGTAGGTTGCCCTGAAGAAAAGCAGTGGAGAAGTCGAGAGAGTGTAACTCGTAGTCTCTCTGTGCTGCTACGTGTAGTAACACCCGAAGAGTGGTCATCTTCGGGGTAGGTGCGAAGATCTGAAAGAAGTCAACTCTCTCGCGCTGACTGAAACCTCTAGCCACGTAGCGCGCCTTGAAGACCGGGGGAAATTCCGGTGGCCCCTTCACCCTGTAGATCCACATGCCGTCGACTACGTTTGCCCCGGGGGGGGGGGGGGGGAAACCTCATCGACGTAGGTGCTTGTGGATTTGTAGGAGGCCATCTCTGCGTCCATGGCAGCTCTCCACTGAGAGGCCCAAGGCCCTGACACTGCCTCAGCGTAAGTGCGAGGAGTCGGAATGTCAAGGGCGTCGGGGTCACCCTCAGGGGCGAGGAGCATGGCACAGAGATGAGGGGAAGCGGCCGTCAAGAACTCTAGCTCAAACTGCCTGTCCTCTAGGGCGTCACAGCCAAGGGCAGACACACCCCCGACAGCCAGAGGACTGGTAGGAGGAGCAGCCACAAGCGTGGTGGCGTAGTCAAGACGGCGGGTAGCGGCAAAGTCAGTAAACGCGGCAGTAAGAGTAGGCACAGAGGACACAGAGGCACGAGGGTGAGTAACAAGAGAGGCGAGAACACGAGAGAGAACAGGACGGGACGTGCGGTAATAGTCAGTGACAGAAGCAGGGAGCGACACGGTGAGGGCCGACTCAGGAGGAGACGAAAGCACAGACTGAGACGGACGAAGTGGACTGGAACAAAGTAAGGCAGTACGAAGGTCAGTGAAGGGAACAGGAGGCGAGGGACGAGCACGAGGGGAGCGACGAGAAGTCCATGAACGAGACGGAGGAGGAGAGGACAAAGGCGGAGAACTAGAGAAAACAGCGGGGGAGGAGTCAGGCGGAGGAAACGTGGGACCGTAGACAGGAAAGGCGGAGGAGGGAGGAGAAGGGGAGGGGAGACCAAGGGTCCGAAGACCCGAGACAGGAGGAGGAAGTGGCTGCTGCTGCTGCGACTGCTGCTGCTGCGGACGCGACTGCTGCTGGGACTGCTGCTCCTGCGGGTCCAGCTGCTGCTGCTGCTCCGCCAGCCGCTGTAACTCCCTCTCCTCTCTCTCCAACTCCAGCTGCTCGTCACGCGCACGGCGAACACGAGCCTGGTGCCTAGTCGGGTAGGGGTGGGGGGGCGGAGTAGTGTCCGAAACAGCGGCAGCTCCAAAGTCAACCCCCGAAGAACCAGGCGCACCACCCCCAGAGGCAGCACTAACACCAGCTCCAGACCCAGGCGCACCAGAACCCGAAGCAGGCGCACCATCACCCCCAGAGGGAGCACCCTCAGAGTCCGCGCGGCCAGCACCGGCTCCCGGACGACAAGAGTCCTCTGCACCCACCGGGTCAGCTCCAACTCTAGAACCAGAAACTCCAGCTTCAACTCCAGCACCCCCAGAACCAGAAACTCCAGTGCCTACTCCAGCTCCACCTCCAGCTCCAACACCAGCTCCAACTCCAGCACCCCCAGAACCAGAAACCGGTACAGGAACAGGCGCAGCACCAACCTCTCGAGAGCTAGCACCTGCGGCACGCTGCGACGAGGACTGTGGAGAGGGAGGCTGTACCGGAGGGGCTACCGAAGGAGGAGGGGTAGCCTGGGACACACCAGACGGGGCTGGGCCAGGAAGGGGAGGCTGTATCGGGGGAGCAGGAGGGGGAGCGGCAGTCAGGAAGAGGGGGGGAGGAGGAACCGGGAGACCTCGACTGGGGTACCTGACGTAGTACGGAGTGGACTCCTCGAAACGGACGTCACGGGAGTCAAAGAACCGGTGAGAGGGAGGGTGGTAAAAGGTGAAGTCAGAGGAGTCCTCAGGGAAACCAAGGAAGACAAGGGGGACGGCACGAGGCGAGAGCTTGTCCGCGGAGGTGTCGCGGATAAGAGCCAAGCATCCCCAGACACGAAACCGCGACGCAACACCAGAGGACCCTGTCCAAAGACTGGTCGGTGAAACCTCTGGTCGAGAGACACGTGGCCAGAGGTTCAGCTGGTGCGCGGCGTACCTGACCGCGTAGGGCCACAGAAAATGGGGGGCACAGGCGTGAGTCAGGGAGGTGCGGGCGATCTCCATGACCAGGCCTATGCGGCGCTCAGCAACCCCATTCTGCTGTGGGGACTCTGGAAGCGTCCAGGACTGACGAATGCCCTGCTCGCGACAGAATCCAGCGAGAATGCCGGAGCGAAACTCACCCCCACGGTCGGAGTGGAGACAGCTGACACGACGACCACGAGTGTCCTCAGTGGTGAGCAACCACCTGATCAGCGTAGAAGTCACCTCAGACTTCTTCGCCAGAGAGAACACTGTGGTGTAGCGGGAGAAGTCGTCAACTACCAGCAGAAAGTAACGCTCACGCTCAGGGCCTAGACGAGGGGCTGGGCCCCAGACGTCCAAGTGAAGCGTCTCAAAAGGCTCGGTGGCCGGACGAAGGGAGGAGGAGTGAGGGGTGGCGCGCAGCCTACCCTCGACGCAGGGACTACACGGCGGCGCAGGCGAAGGCGGCAGCGACGGCAAGACACGTGGGAGGCCTAGGACAAGACGCTGACTAGACATAGCGCGCAGACGAGGAAGCGACGGGTGCCCCATCCGGTTGTGCCACAGAACGGTGGGGTGGGCAAGCGACCGGCAGGAGCACGACGCAGCGACTGGAACAGACGTAGGAACCTGACACGACACAGACACCTGGGGGGACGAAGCAACCTGGTGAGACACGGGGACCCGAACGGGGGGGGGGGGGACCGGGGGCAGTGGCAGTAGGGGGGGCTGCTGGTGCGTCCGCTGGTGCTGCTGCTGCTGCTGCTGCTGCTGCGGCTGCGGCTGCTGCTGCTGCTGCGGCTGCTGCTGCGGCGCAAGCGGGCCAGAATGAAGAGTGTAGAGACCCGAGCCCGGCTCAGCAGTAAAGGTAGCAAGAGGTTGGTAAGAGTCTCCGTCAACACACACCGCAGTCTCTCCAGAAGGCTCAAACCACACACCCACGTGCTGACTCACGAGGGGTCGCACGCCCACCAAGTTCCGGGAGAACGAGGGGACGTGAAACCCAGTGAGAGACCCGGAGGGAGCAGCAGGACACGGTAAAGTGGTAGTGTGACGGGCAGTGACTGGTCCCGTAGTGGGATCAGCCAACGCTACAGAAACAGGCGCAGGAAGTGGTGTAAGTGTCGTGCTGTCCCGGAAGAAGCAGTGGGAGGCTCCAGAGTCCAGTGTGAACGACAGAGAAGCGTCCCCTGAGTCAGTCGG